AAAAACCTTTATTGACACGAGTACACTTTTTTATAAGAATATAACTAAACCACAGAAATGACTCCGGAAAAGCTGCAGATAGAGCCATAAGAAATGAATGCAACTTATTTAATCCGCGCGGTTTGGCTTTATGAAGCAGGCATGCAAACGGTTACGTCATGACGCAAACGATGACGCAACGATGCATTACCAGTCGGACTCTGGGCGGTGTGAAAAGAGCCAGAGCTAAACCGAAGTACTGGTTCTGAACCTGAAAAGCTCTAGCACGGAGCTTGAACCGGAGTTGCGTTGGTGTGAATGAGGTATCTGATTGGCTGTTCAGCTTAGCGAGTCAGTGCATGGGAAGCGAAGCGGAAGTGAGGAACCAAAACAAACGATTAAGAAGTTACACACAGACAGACGGTTAATCTTTTTCATTTTCATCTCACCCGGACGCAATCATTTCTTTTTTATGTTTACATGTTTTCGATCGACGAGAGAGAGTGAAAATGGAACCCAGACGCTATCTGTTTGTTTATATCACGCAGCCTGTTCTTCTTCTCTTGGTGTATAGTCTGTCTTCCGGTTGTTGCCTCTTTTGAATGACGAATACACACTACCACTGCCTGCTGGTAAGGACAGTTATTGCCACTCGTCAACTGAAGTCTTTGCGGTGTGTTCGTAGGCGGGCGGCGTAGGCGGGCGGCGTAGCCGACGCAGGCGACGTAGCGGACGTAAAAGTCGGGACTCCTTCGGTACGCGTTCTTTGGTCTCAGGTTGGTGTGTAGCGGCCTTTAAAGGCTTCTGGAATAGCCTCCCAACTGAGATACAGCATTGTCCCACTCTCAATAGCTTCAAAGGTCAACTCAAAGAATGGTTGAGAAACAACTAGACATGCAATCACCGCTAAATGCACTTTAACACAGGGGTATCTCCTCTTGCCACTTTATGTATCTCTTGTATCTTCTCTTGCACTTTATATGTCGTAGCTGCTATATTGTATTACCATGTGGTAAATACTTGTGTATGCTGCTCTTGCTCTTTTGCACTTTTTGCATATCATGTATTTGTTTTTGCTATGTTTGTAAAATGTCATTTTCTTAAATGTTTTATGTGAGGGACTGCAGATGGAAATGAGCTCAAAGCAAAATCTGGCATATTTACGCTTGACACATTTGATTGTTTTAAGTGTTCATTAATGTGCATTCTCCCTGCTAAATAAACGCTTAAATAAAGTATATCGTATTGTATCGTATGAAATTCTAAAACCAGACGATGGTCGTAAAAACATCCAAAGGTTATTCGGTCAAGATGAAGTCCAGTTGTAAGAGAATAGTAAATGTAATCTTCAACACGTGTGGAAAACAATTTCTCCTGCAGGACTCACGAGGGAAAGCCTCCTTCAATCAAAACAACAACCTCTTTTACTGTTTCTCTCTCAGCACCAATCACACACATGGGATTAAAGCTCTTCACAGCAACACCATAATCAGGCTGCTCTTTAATCTCGCCTCATTTTCTCAACTCTCTAGAATTATTATGGCTGCAGTAATGTCACTAACATCTTATTCCCCTGGATCATTATCACAGAGCCTCTAGACATAACACAACTGCAGGCCCCAATCAGCCTCCAGTAATCCATACTAGACAAATGTATGTTACCGCGTACATGACAAATAGATTACAGTGGTTGAATAAAAGACTGATGACAAGCAAAACTAGATTACTTAAACTGGGAGGAATTGAAGAATTTATAACCTATATTTTATTGTTAATTTAATCTATAATGAATAAAGAGAAAAGTAAATTTTTATAAAGAGCGTGCTGCCTAAAGAGAGGATTTTTAGATATCCATACTTGGTTAGGCGCATCCATTTTTTTCTTTTTTAAACTGGGTTTAATTGAGATTACTACGAACTTTTGATGTTGTGATGTGTCGAGGTATACTCTAGAAAAACTACAGATATGTTCGTCAGAAATTTTCCTGGATTGTTGAAGCTTCGGTATCTTTGTTTAAGAAAAATAAGGTTTAAAGAATATGCCAAATTCAGATTCCCCCTTTAACACATTTGATTACCACAATTTCTGGATTGTTTGTGTTTTCTAACCTCAAGTGGCTAAAATAAATGTGTGCAACTATTTCCCATGACTGCTTCCTGAACTGTGTGCAGTTCACGGTTGAACATTCCTAAAAAAATGCAATAAACACCTTTTTTTATTTCAATATTATATCAGTGTTGGTTTGGTTAAAAGAAGAAAGCTGCTTCAAACGGTCTATTTTTCTTTTCAGCTAACAATTTTGAGCGTGGCATCACTGAATGACCCTTCAGAAACTTTGTGCCTCTGTAATAATACAAAGGAGCCGAGCTGGATGCTACAGTAGGTGGGGTCGGTTGTGATTGCTATTTCCACAGGGTAGAGCCCGGCTGATGAGAAAGAGTCAATTATTCAGACTCATCATTCAGAGTCTAAGCAGTATCTCTAGATCCTCAGACTTCACACACACGTGTACACACACACACACACACACACACACACACACACACACACACACACACACACACACACACACACACACACACACACACACACACACACACACACACACACACACACACACACACACACACACACACACACACACACACACACACACACACACACACACACACACACACACACACACACACACACACACACACACACACACACACACACACACACACACACACACACACACACACACACACACACACACACACACACACACACACACACACACACACACACACACACACACACACCACACACACACACACACACACACACCACACACACACACACACACACACACACACACACACACACACACACACACACACACACACACACACACACACACACACACACACACACACACACACACACACACACACACACACACACACACACACACACACACACACACACACACACACACACACACCATGTTTCATTACAGCTCAATGATTTAAGATGTATTTAGGGAAAGGTCAGCCAAAAGAGGAAAGAACATTTCCGGGATCAAATATGTGGAATAGTAGAATAACATATCTGTGAGCTGATGGTTCAAGGACAAATACAAACATTTAAAATATTATACATTCGTCTGTTTCCGAGATTCAGCTGTTAGAAATAAACTATTCATAAAACCCAATTCTAAGCATAGCATTACTTTTTAAAGAACAGACATTATGCTAGTTTTCAGGTTTGTATTTTGCAATGTCAAAAAACAAGAAGACCTTTTGCATTAATAGTCTCTGCACAATTGAAAAAAAGTAGGCGCTTTACATTTTGTAGAGCACATGATATCTTCTATCCTTACTTTGATATCAGAAGAATATGTATTTTAGGGGCAGCACAACTGCCTACAAACTCAATTAATTAAATTGGACATATTGTTTTCATTTTCAGGTTCATAGTAGTATCTTGTGTCTCTCCTGTGACATGTCTCCATGCTTTAATGTTCAGAAAGCTCTATATTTGTCTCATACTGCCTGTGCTGCAGCACCTCTTTTCACCCTCTGTCAAACCAGAGCTCAGTCTGATTGGTTAACTGACCAGCTCTGTTGTGATTGGTCGATCGCTTAGAGATGTCCCGCCCCTTTGCCTATCACGTACAATGGGTTGGAGCGCATGCCAATAGATACGCCAGTGTTACATAGGGATATCACTATGTTTCGGAAGTAAACAAAGGAGTCCAATGAAGGCGTTTCAGGCGCGGGGGGGGGGGGGGTCGTGACTGGGAGAGAAACTCCCTCTGGAGGAATAACAGGGATTTTAGCCTTTGCAGACCATTTACATGCACAAAAACCTATAACACTACAGGAAAGGTAAAAGCCAGCATAATAGGACCTCTAAGTATCCGTTGGAACCCTGCAAGCTGAATTTGTTGTCCTGTTAGCAGTGAATGCAACATGTAAATACAGCACAGGGCTAAAAAGGATGCTGGTGTATGAATATCTCAACTTGCAGTTAAGAATGAATTTGTAAAAACAGCCTCAATTTAATTATTGACAATAAGTTTCATGTCAAACAGAGAAGTTGCACTTTCACTGAGCGCAGGGAATAGGGGCATTTCTTGCTATTTCTGTGTTCAATACCCTGATTATTGTTAAAGGTCAAAATCAGTGCATCCCCATTTGTCAGTGTTCACTGGTCAAAATGATCTTCAGTGCTACATATCTATTTCCCTGAGCGGCCATGATGAAACTAGGAAATGAGTCTGCAAAACTGCAAGTGTAAACAAATTGAGCGGAGATTACAAGTCAGCATTATTTCAATTTGCTTACATACAGTAAGAGGCTTATCCCATTAGGAGATAAAGGGGAAAAGTTCATTTATTGGCAAATTATTCGGGCTCCGCTTATTCTATTAAAATGTGGAAAAGGATAGGAAGCATAGAGAGAGAAAGGAAGGAAGGAGGGAGGGAGGTGGAGAAATTATACAGGAGGAGATCAACACATCTATCACTGTCGCTGTGCAAAGTTAAAGCTCAAGTGGAAATCACAGAGTTTGGCTCACTTAGGACTTCAAGGACACACACTTCCTGTGGGCAGCAGGGAGGGGAGTGAGGAAGGGACTCACAGGATAGAAAACGGTGTGAAAGCAACACCCGACAGAAAAGCCTAATTGCTTTGATTATTACACCGTGTCCACATCAGAGATCAAAATAAAATGATCTTTCTCTACGCAGAGGAGTTGCAGTCGGGCTGTTTCTTACAAAAAGTCAAATTTGACCCCTGCCCTGACCCTAAATTCTTGTACATGTTAATGGTCTGCAAAGGCTAAATTCCCTGTGATCCCTTCAGAGGGAGTTTGTCTCACACACTCCCTGGAGTAAAGGATGTCAGTACTTCTTTCACCACTGAAAGTTGTTGGGGTATCCATGCAGAATCATGAATAGTGTATTGTTTTTGGGACTTGAAAACAGGTGAAGTATAACTGCTGAACAGAGGTGTGTGCATGCTGTTGGGACTTACCAGAAACACCCGGTATGCATCTTTCCTCGTCACAGAACCCCAGCAGGGATCGGTGTCGTTGTACTTCACACTCCCAGCGCTGCAGGAGTGATTCCCACTGTGGGAAAAACAAACACAGCTTAATGTTTTTACCCCAACTTTGTGGGATATTGCCATCTGAAACTGATGTCCATTGCAGGCCATCATATTTAAATTCAAAGTTTGAAATCTCATTACACCGTGTCATGTAAAAAGTCTGAGCAGCAGAGGTTGTGTGTATCTTAAAAGTAATCACAAACTCGATCATTGTTGCATGACAGACAGAGCTTTGGTAAAAATCTTCTGCCCATGCTACTGAGACGTCTCTGCCTTTGGGCAAAGCAAGCTGCTTTTGAAGTCTCAGTTACATCTCGCATTTATTCTTACTGGAAGGTTAGCGAGGTTTTGACAGCAGAGGGAGAGAATTTAATACAATCAGACAGCGTCAGTGTGCTGCGCCTCAGGACAGGACGACGTACGCAGGCTTTGTCACAACACTTAGAAGAGAAGAAGAATATGAAGTTTACTCTGCGACCTCAAATATGAATTTATTATTGTGAATCAATTTATTTTAAGTTATTGATGGTAAAGCGAAGGTAAATTAATAATAATTTGTGTTGAAAGATCTCAGATTTGGTCTATGTGCTGCAAGGGCTCAAAACATAAGCTGCAATTAAAACAAACCTCAGTGTGTCTTTTAACTATCTAAATTATCTTAATTATTATAATCAAGAGTCTGGCTCAGCAAGGATTGGGTTTAAATGAACAACTTTTTCTCTAATTTTCCGTGATCCATTGTCACCCAAAGATACATGTTTTAATATTTTTATAGAGCACATATTGTTCTAATTTGTTCAGGTTTTGTGCTTTGACTGTGACATGTTTGCATAATGTAATGTTCAAAAAACTGATCATCTGATTGGTTAGCTGGCTGGCTCTGTTGTGGTTGGTTACATCTTTTCGGAAAAGAACAGGAACTTTATGGCTTTGTTCGAGGACTTGTTTTTACTAACTGTCCCGAAAGTCTATACTGAGCTGGTTTAAAGCGCCTTTAGTTCTGCTGCTCCATTTACTTGGATCCAGCTGCAATATGAGCTGAAACTGAGGCGTCTTTTAATAGGGAGGCGTGTGGCGCAGTGGATTAGTGCACTGATCTTCGAATCAGAGGATAGCAAGTTCGAGTCCCTCTGCAGTCAGCATGTGGTTGTGTCCCTGAGACACTTCACTCCAAATTGTTCATGTGGGGATTGTCCACAGTATTGAGTATGTAAGTCGCTTTGGATAAAAGCGTCTAACAAATGACATGTAATGTAATGTAACAGACTTAAAGTGATATGTTATCTGTTCTTGCTTTTAATTTGTTTCTGTAACTGTGCTGTTGCCTATCTTGGCCGGGACTCTCTTGTAAAAGAGATTATGTAATCTCAATGAGACTTCTGGTAAATTAGATTTAAAAAATACACTAAAGTCATGGAAACAAAATGGTGGCAATTTATTAAAGAAAATGTATTACACTTTATAAAAAATTATCTGAATCTCTCCATTTTGAAATCATCCAACTATAACACTAAAGGGGTAATGGTTATTTTTTGTAGTGCAGGATCTGAAGGGCAGAGTCTGTAACTATATAAAATACTTTATTCTCACCCAAGTCTGGCCAACAGACTTGCAATAAAAATCTGTCTGGAAGCAAGTCAACACGACTCAGAAGGTAAGAGCTCAGCGGGCCTACAGGCTTTTATCAGCAAAGCTTTATTGTCTTAATCTCGAGGTCAGAAGGTGTCAATAAGACCAAAGTGTCGGAGCAGAGGAGCCAATATTTGTAGACAGGTTGGCTCTTATTCCCAAAGTTACTTTCGAATGGAGGATATATATATATATATTATATATGCAGTATACAATAAAAGTAAGAATGATTGTCCTAAAGTGAGTTTATGGTCTTACCAAGCCATCTCCATCAGGGATATGGGCACAGCTGCTGCGTAGATAGCCATGTCTCCGTACAGATAGACTATGATGCAGATGTAGAACATGTTGACGCCAACTGGAAGACAAACGTGAGAACAACAAGACAGTCAGATGTGTGCAAGAACAAACAAATGCATTTTCACCAGAAAACCTTACCATTTGAAACCATTCTGCAAAAAAAGTCTGACGCTTGCCATCCCGAAGTATTTAAAACAGTAGGCTTTTAGAGAACGGGACAAATGAGACTGGGATTATACTTCACAGGTTAGACTTTGTAAACGTATTGTAATAAATATAGTTCTAGTGTTGTCAAATAAGGGCTTGATGATTTCTGGCAAAAAAATTAATTGCGACTATTTTAACTGATATTGCCGTTTTTACTGATAAATTCATGATTTTGGAGATAATCATTCTTGCATTAATCTTGTTTTTTTTAAATGCAATGCAATGATCATGGTTTACTGTTTTACATTGATCCGCACCAACAAATATGTATTCTTAAATGTGTAGATTATGATTTGTAGAGCAGCACATTATTTAATTCAGAGTGTGATTGTAACACATATTTTTGCATAATATTGGATATCCTGCAATTGGGATATTGCATGAGTCTGTATTGCAATTTCGATAAAAATGAATTGTTCTATGTCAAATGCGACCCGATTTACAGTTTTGTTCACACTTGTTCACAGTGGAGGCATGTGAGAATAAACAAAGTTTATTTTAGAATTCAAGGCAACACAGGGTGAGTAATTGATAAACAGATAATCATTTGTTCAACAGTGACATAGCACCAAAAGGTGACAAGCGATATCATTCATCTTATCATCAAACAATTAATCATACAAAATAGATGAAGGGTGTGTCAAACTTCAACACTATAGTTCCATCACTATTAAAATGTACTCTCATCCATACATCGGCCCACCACATTCCTCAATTCCTTCTCACAACTTATTGGTCCATTGAAAAAATGACCAGCATTTATTAAAAAAACAATCGCTCCATGGAGGGATTTTTCCCTGTCAGCCCTTTCCTCGGCACAGCGACGGACTGTTCACCATCTGCCCTTTTTCTCTTCATGCACTCACTCGACTGGCAGGCCCGACCCCGGCTGTCTTTGCCAAGACAAGATGGAGGGCTTTAACCAGCGGACAGATCATCACAGCGCACCACACATCCATCATGATCTTCAATTCTTAGAAGGGGGTTCAAGCGTCCAACTGGACCCTGCCGCTAGACAGATTCACAGCTTCACAGGCTACAGAGATTCTTTTATGAATTAAGGACTGAGGTTCTTAAATTACACTTAAATTAGGCTGTTATAGAACTTGAAAAATAAGGATCTGGCAGCCGAATAAACACCCATTTGTCCAGCTGTAAAAAGCTGGTCAGAATCCAACATTGGAAACTGGAGGGCTGAAGAGTACTGCAATTAGATGATGGTATTTCTTTTAACAATTAAACCTTTGGTCTATAGACATAATAAAAAAATAAATCTTAGTATTGTTTTGTCCGACAGTCAAAACTTTATATTTTAACTGATACAAACTGACAAAAGGCACCAAATGTTCACCTTTAAGTGCTGCACATTTAGAGTTATTATTACATATTTTAATTGACTAAATCATCATGAAAACAGTTGCCTATTGATTTTCTGTAACGTATAGCAGCACATGTGTAGATGCAATGTCTAAAATATTTGACGAAATATATGATTTTCCCGCACTGATGACCACATGTTAATCATAATCAAAATTGATCAGAGGATGTATATGAAACTGTATTGGACTGTTTTGTTGTATAGGGCTAATAATGCAAAGTTAAAGCCCTCTTTGGTAAGAGACAACAAGAAAATAACTACTCATTCTACTTAAATATGGTAATAAGACTTACGCCATTTTCAAAGTAACTAAAGATAAATCAATAAAAACATTAACTGATATTAAATGAGGCCATCCACAGAGATGGTTGCAATGATTGAAGAAATGTCTAAAGTTGTAAGCTTGCTTCAATTCAAATCAATATTTTCAAAAACGATGAAAGGGATTTAATGGTCTGTCTAACGGGTCTCCCATACGATTTCAAACGAAAGTAAGGTAAAAGTTACACAAATCAGGGAATTATGAATGCCTGTATCATTACCAAGTCAGCATTGACATGTTGGCAAAGAAAATGTGGTTTTTAGAATGATTTTTTTTGTATGGGTTCAACTATAATCAAATGTTACAAAGGAGGGTTCAGAAACACCCTTGCACCCTCATATCAAAGTAGAGTAGAAGTCGACCTTACACCATAACACAAATGTTTGATGATACAGTCGAATAAATATAAAAAACCTGCTGCTTATTCCAGCATCATCTTATTTCAATTGTTGGTGACAGTCTTACGTAAAACAAATAAACATGCATGTCATCACAACAGGCAATATTATGGTAACGTAAACATTTTCAAGGTCATGTCCAACTAGAAATGATGGCCTTAGCCAATAACGTTTAGTCAGAATTAAAGTCAGAATTGTAACTTCTTTCTGAATTTAGTCAGAGAATTCTGACTTTTTCTCAGAATCTTAAGATTAAACTGAGAATTGTAATTGTAATCTTACCGGAAAAAAAAAATCACTTTTAGTCGGATCTCAACAAAAAAAATGCACATGTGGCCTTAATCCTCTTACATTAGAAACACACCATTCTATACTCTGCATAATGTCACATGTTGCACTAAATATGATTTATAGTATACAAGTGTCTTAGCAGGAGATACAGGACGCACTGTACTCCGCCACCGCTGTCAGTAAGCGATAGCATGGAAAGAGCGCTGCATGACCACAGGGAGGCAAGCCTTCACGGCACTGTAACTAATATTTCCTGATTACCAAGAGCCACGGGCAAAACATTCTACAAAATGGTTCTTCACGTAGTAGCAGTCTTTCATCTAGCTGTGGAAACCATCACAATCCATCATAACACTTTGCTTCTGACTGACAGACCTGACACCTTCTCAGAGCAGATATAGAAGAAAAAAACGACGCTATTCAGTTAAGTGCATTTATAGGGCACGTTTTTACATTTATAATACATAAAACCGTTTTTTATATAGTCTGAATGGAGAATATGTCCTTTAAGTATCGTATAATTATCTGTCTTGACCTCACGTAGAGTCACAAATAACTGCCACTGTTACACTGAAGCATTTTAAATTCATTTTAACTTTGTATTCACCTCATTAACCCTCCTCTGTTCATTTGACAGTTCTACCTCTTGGGGAATATTAGAGTCAAATGTTGATTAACTGATATTATAGACTTTCACAAATCTAAATTGAGCTCGCCCTGGAGGAAACAACAAAATGTTTCTAAAAAAAGGTAAATGGGACAGTAAAAGTAAGACATGGCTGATTTAGTTCTACCTTGTCGACATCGGTTTGATGTAGGTCACAAACGGAATGTCTTTGTCAATGGTCTGCAGAGCATTTTCTCCGTCAATCATTTGAACAAATACAAAAAAAGAAAATGTCCTTTGCTTTTTTCTACATCCTAAGGTGATCATCAAATGTTTCTTTTGGTCGAACCAAAATTCAAGATAATCTATTTTGTACATTGTAGGTCACTGAAAAGCGGTAAATGAGTTTCCCACAGCTCCAGATGTGACTCAGAACGGAAGTGTGAAAGGACTGAACGGACTTTCAGTTTGAGGAACAAATCAAGCTTCCATAGATCAAGATTCTGGAGTCGGTCCAAATGCTTAGTGACGCACCATTAGGCCATTCACAGAAACAACCGATCGTGACCGACAAAAGAAGACCACGTTAGTTATGGTGGTTATTCAGCAGTTATGATTTAAACTTTCAACACTAATTTAAGCCAAAAGCCGAAAATATGAAGTAATGTAAAATGATGTGTGTTTGCCGAGTCTTGTAGGATTTCTTTTTAAATGTTTTCAACTTGTTTGAATGGTATACACTGATAGATTTGTAGGCCTAACAAGTAAGTCATATTTTGCATAAAGTTTAATTTTCTTGAAAAATGTTCATACTAATTGGGATTAAAACGTTTTGACAGAAGGAGGAGTGCGAGCAACCGTCACGTTTCACTTTCATTTTTCAATAAGAATATAAATTCCAGTGTTGTCCATGTTCATAAAGCCTTCATAACACTAGACAAAAGAATGTACGGGGCAAAGAATCTCAATGCACTTATGCTGTTGGATCCGTTGTTTTCCCACGGCTGACACACTTCAATAATATTACTGGCGCATCATATTTACATCCGCCGGTCTAACTGAAGTCGTATTCTCTTAGCACCGGGGTTGTAATTTCCTAAATCCTGATGAATCTTTCCTTCACATCTCTCCTTAACCCAGTGGATCTTTAACTTTTTCTGTCAGGCCCCATCTTTGGAGAAAAAAAAAGTCGGGCCCCCCCAACACAAATAGTCAGGCTCAGTGGCGGCGCCAGAGATTTATTTTGGGGGTGCTGTGGGGTAGCTTGACGTTTCATAGAGGGTGCTCAAACATTTTGGGTTTCCCATTAATGTACCGGTCGCTACAGTGGAATTTTCTACTGCAACACTCCCCACGCATACACACAATGTACCCGCGACTGTTACAATGAAGGCTCAATATCAGCTCACGGCATATAGGTGTAAGCAGGGGTCAAGTGCTATTTTTATAGGTGGTGTGTGGACCTCACATAGGGGGGTCCGGGGGAATCTATCTCTCTCTCTCTCTCTCCCTCCCTCCACAGAGCCAAGCTTTAATGAAACACAGAGACCCAGACGTAATAGTACTGCATCATATTATTTTCGAATCAATAATTTTTCAAATTATGATTTTTTAATCTTTTTTTTTTTATAATCATTTTTCCTCCTGGTCTCTCGCGCCCCCCCTGGCATGCCTCTGCGCCCCCCCACTTTGAGAACCACTGCCTTAACCCAATGATATTTTTGCTACGGTTAAGGAATAGTGGTTACGAAAAGACATTTACAAACTCTACAATTAAAGTACATCCCTTACAGAGCTCACAGTGGTGTAGCAGCAGTGGCTAATGCGAAACGGTTGTGCTGCTTTTTAGTGGCTCAGGCGCACCAGATTTGTCACTTTGACAGCACTCGTAATGTACAAGTGTGACATTTAGGTAAAAGTCAATGAAGTATTAAAAATGGAGGTGCCCATTTTTGGCTCTCATTAAAAACTGAAGGACCGGTTACAGTGGAATAAATCACTTTTCACCCATGTGCTGTCGGCCATGTTAACCAGCACGTCAAGTCGGAGGGAAGAATAGCTGAGACAAGATGCTGATGCAAGGACAGCTCTCTGCTAGGCTCTCTCTCTGTGACTTTAGCCAAAGTCGTCTTCTAATCAACTTTCAAATCATCAACATGAAGGTTAGTAACACCTTTCCACAGTGGTGCAGATAAACCAGCCTCCATCAACATTCCTGTCAGTGGCGGCAGGTCAGGCTGATACGATACTCATGGCCTTATTCCAAGCCTGCCTCGCCGCTAGTGCCATGTCAATTTCAGTCCAGGAGGAAGTCAAACGCCCTCTAAGAGTGCCCCCTCAACAGCAGGAGACATGCCTTTTAATTGTCTGCAAAGGTGCAGCATGGAAAGACAAGGCTTCAGTTTATTATCTGTGAAGAGGTGGGGGAGTGCTGTCAAAACGGATTTCACATCCTGTATCTTGTTTGTATGTATCTTGTTATTTAGCTACTTGAAAAAATGGTTCAATACAGTTGTCAGTGCTGAGTGCATTTTGTTTTTCATCCGCTTTATAAAAGAGATGAACCACTGATTATCTGATGTCAACGTGTTTTTTCACGCACACAAAAAAGACCTCGCAATTAAGGTTTGTTTCCTTGGGTTAGCTGGAATTAAGTTGTCACTTCTGACAAACTACACAACCATTCCCAAAGAAGAGGATTGAGATTAACATTTTCAGGCACTTCGGTGTAGTTGTAAACAAATAAACAGCTCTGGCCTGCTGGTCTTCTTTTCAGACTAAGCTATTTATTTGCAAAGTGCAAATCTGTGAAGTGTGAATGCACACTGACCAAAAGGCAGTGCCAGAAATGAATACAGCTAGGTAATACTTTAATTCATCTGCTGGTTATTATCTTGGATAAGAGCACGGGTACAAGAACACAAATGTACTATAAAAAAGAAAAGGAAAAAACATTCACTACATCACACGTGACTGGCCTTAAACCAATAATTGTTATAGTATATGCGGTGTCCTCTCATGCAGACTAGCAAGATCTACAAAAACACGTTGACACCAGAACATGAGGACCCAACTGTCCAAAGAAGAAATTCTTGCAATTAAACGCCCAAAATCATAAACTCCCTTCTCCAGTCTTTTCTTGAGATGTCCAGAAATTATAAAATGATACATCATCTGCTATAAAAATTAAGAGAACACTCAAACCCCAAATGTATTTAAAATATTATCAACTCATAATACTAAGTAACATTAGAGGTGCAAAGGAGTAAAACACAAACTCAAACTGATTAACTTGCATGTTTAAGAATTCAGTTGGCACCTACATTTGTGCAGTGACCTGTGAGTTTCCTGACAGTCCTCAGCATGTTTTACATAAGTGAGCATTAGTCAGAGCATGCCGAGGTCATGCCACTACACAAGTCTGTCTGAATCCTTTCCATTGTTGCTCTCACATGGCACCGAGTCTATAACTTTACCAACTCTAAGAAACTGAAAGAAGCCCAACAACAAGTTTTGAATAACGCAAATATTTTTGAATAAACATTTTTCTTAAAACGCAATTTTGCGTTGTTATTAGAATGGGATTTTGGGATATTCGATAAGATAATAGAAATGAGCTTGAATAGACTTTCATATTTAAGGTGTGTTGTTTTTATTACTTGTGCATTTTAACATGTATCTGTAAAGTGTCTTTGAGTACCATTTGTAAGTGAATTATAGATCAAATATATTATTATTTTTGTTGTTGTTGGTTGTTGTACTTATTTAAGTTATAATATTTACTGTTAGTGTTCATAATCTGGCTCATCATCCAGAAAAACTAAACTGAAGTGAAAAGTATGAAAGTTGGCATTGAATGTCGGGAAGATTCTGTATCATTTTAATATAATTATTACAAATAAAGTTCATGAGGTTTCTCTTGTCTCCCAATTAACATTAGAGATATATTAAAGTGTCAATGACAACCTGTGAAAGGTCTTCTTTTGTTCACAAAAAGGAAGTGAATGCTCTGCATATCAGGTAGAAAGTGAGCATGTCGGCGCTGTCATGACACACAAAAGAGCTCCTTCAGCATGTCCTGGGACTTGTGCCTATCTAATTCATTTCTGATGAGAGCCACTGGGCAGCGTTCCCATAGAACCAGAGAAGAGGAGAGAAAACTAATTTCCTTATTACCAATCGATACCTGCACGTGCCTCACCTGCACACAACCAAAGGTCATCAGCTAAGATTTTTTTTTAGCGCTTCACCTCTAATCAGCAGGACAGAGGAGCTGAGTGACAGGAGGCAGGGCACACTGCAGCTTTAACAGCATGGGCTGCATGACAGCATGCATGAGTGCCTCCACACTGTGGGTGTGAACATGAGCAGAGTGTCACACCGTGCGGTCCGAGTGCTCCACCTAGTGCTGAAGAGCTGAAGGACGGAGCATGTCAGCGCAGATGATGTTGTCAGAGCTTTGACCTTTTGTTGTTCCTTTATTCCTGCGACAACAGGGACACTGCAGACTGTTGAGTCACTCGCGCGTAATGAGGAAGAGCCAGCTCGGCGTTATGCAAGCAGACAAGAGGAGGGGGGTGAGGCACAATGTGCTGATATGAAGGAGGAATGTAAAGCCGCCGGGCTCAAGGTGAACGTGATTCTGCTTTCAATGTTCCGTCACAAAGTTAACAAAAGGCTTCATTAGCTCTCAAATCATTCAGGCACAGGCACAGTAGGGACATTTAATGGAGTCTCAAACAGGTAATTACATCCAAAGGCAATGTATCCATATATAATTACATCCAATTAGAGAGCCAGGAGAGATTCCTTTGTGAATGTGAGGATCAGACATTAAAAAAGGTATAAAAAATTCATTCGGATTCATCCCACACAACCTTCACTGCTCCTCCATAAATGGCTAATGATGTCGCTGTCTGCATTTAATTGAATAATGGGGGTGAGAGTGGAAGCTGGAGGCCAGAAGAACATTACCTTTGTTGAAGAACATGGAGGCCATTTGACCCATCTCAACCCGCTCCACGATGTCGAAATGATCTACGTGACCTCCCGATCTCTCTGTGGAAACAAAGAGGCCGTCCGCAGTAAATACCACGCACAGAGACATTTCAAAGAGCAGCCTGATGATTTACTTTGATTTCTATGAAACATTAAATCTACAATTCTTTAATTTAATTGTATAATTAAAGAAACTCTGAAACCTATCTTATAGGAGAAATGTAAAATATTTCATTCTTCTTCAATGCTCAAGAAAAATAATAATAACTCTTGAGAAATAATGGTAATAACTTTGTTCTTGTTTCTTTGTTGTGATTTGCTTGTACTGTATGTCAAGATATGAGTTTATGTTCTGAAGAAAGTGCATCTGTTTAACTAAATAAGTAGATAAATAAAAAGTATTACAAAATAATGATAATAATTATGGTACAGTAAAAATATAAGTTTCTCACCTTTCTTGTATGTATTAATTCCTTATTTGTGTTTTTTATGTTAGGCAGAAATAAGTACAATAAAACATTTTAGAAAAAAGATTTTTAACTTTTGAAGCACTTTTTTTGCAGGACCAAATATGTTTTACATGTGATAGAACTATACTACATTTGAAGTCTTTTCAAGGAACCACATGTCACTTTGACCAGCCCCAGATGAAAACAGTCTAACTTGATGTGTGATATGATGTATGATATGTCCCCTTAAAACTTGTCAAACTCTGGACACTCACGAACAGACAGGATGGGCTTCGTCTCCAGCTCCGAGCGGCCCCGGACGACGACATCATCATCCGAATACTCCGAGGTGGAGTCGCTGTCATGCACCTGCGGAGGTAATATGCAACGCTTTACTTCAGTTGTCTACTTTCCTAATTTCTAAACATAAACAACAGTCAGTTTACAAGCAATAAACACAGTGTTTATTTGCTCTATGTCGGAGGCAGCATCTGGCAATTACCAACAACAGCTGGGAAGCACTTCGCAATTCTAACTAATATCATTTCATAACTTCTATACAGATTATTGTCAATAAGCTGCCAACACTAGTCAACTTTGTGAGCGTCAGCAGCTGAATTAATAGAGCTGATAATAGCTGATGGGAGAGAGGGAGGAAGAGGAGATGAGTGACAGGAGCTAATGGCTCTGTGACAAAGAGCAAACATAAACAACAAACACAGCTCTGGATGAGTCAGGTGACTGTGCATGCCTTAAGGTGAGAAACAGAGGCAAACTAACTTTGCAAAACACTGTCAAATTAAGGTAAAACAAACAAGATCCAATTCCTTTTTAATATCATCATTTTGCATCTGCTAGAATTAGGTGTTTACATATTATATGTATACATCTGTGTATAGAACCTTATAATTAAAAGCTACATTTAACAGTATTTAACTCTACTGTTCAGTATTTCATAATTGTTTAATTGCCTGTTGAATATCTTGTGGTATTTAATATCATTTGTTTACTGTTGGTCTGCCAAAAAACAGGAACCTGAAGAAACAAAACCGGGAAAATAATCACCAGAAGGTGAATGCATGCTTTATGAGAATGTTTCTTTCTACTAATAACAGAATAATAAACAAATCATTGACATGGGTTTCGTAACCTACTTATTTGGAAAGAACTAACTGGATTATAATAACATGGTCCCAAGTAATTTATCTCAATACATTTCCTAGATTTTATAATGAAATTACACATAAAATAGGAGCTCCCATTATTTCTTTATGCCTTTTTGTGGATAGGTGAAAGAGGACATATAATGCTCATTCCCAGGTTTATATATTTGTATGTACATACACCGTAAAACCGATACAACACACTACAGGAAACGGAGAACTCCCAAAATCACAAAAGGGCCTTTTCAATACAACTGAGTTCCAGCAGAGGGGCGCTCCCAATACCGCAGCCAGTACCAAACATTCCATTTTTAAATCAGAACATCACCCGGACTTGGATGCAGCACAAGCAGTACTGTGATATTTAGATCACACACTTAAGGATGTCCTATAAGGCCATTAGATGTGTTTTCATTATGAGGGAAGCATTAGATACTGTGCTTCACTCTCCCTTTTCTACTTCAGGTGATGCAGACAGAAGCACCCTCATCATGGCCTCTAGTTTCCACCTTATTTGTGAGGAGGCTTTCTTTGAAAACATATGATGCATTGCTTAATTTTCGTTGATATGCTTCCTTCAAGCAGAGAGGCTTTTAGCGGTAAATGTTTCCAGTTTTCAGGGTCTTTTGTTTTCCATTATGTGGGAGGAGAAAGGCCGAGAGGGGTACAGGAGCCATGAATCAAAGCCGAGCGTTTGGGGCTCAGGAACGGTCGTTTATTGTCCTCCAGCTCCTCAACTGGAAACCCAAAGGCATTAAGTAAGATGACTTCTGTAGCAGGGGAGAAACCATTTAAAGACCTTCTTAGGCGAAATAAAAAATGATTAAAAACCTCTATTGACAGCTTCATCCAAATTAAGGAGTGGCATTTAAACAGAGGTGGAAGAAGATATTTTACTTAAAGAGGCTCTAATATGCTTTTTGTGGTTCTACCATACTTGTAATGTGTTATGGGTTGTTGTGCATGTAAATGGTCTGCAAAGAGTACAATTCCTAAATACCCTACCCCACACACACCCACCCACGCCTCCATTTGACTCCTTTGTTTACTTCAGTAACATACGTAGTGACAATACTACGTTACACCTGTGCTTCTATTGGCTAGCGCTCCAACACATTGCACGTGATTGGCTAAGGGGCAGGACATCTCTAAGAGGTTGACCAATCACAACAGATCTTGCTAGCTAACCAATCAGAGCAGACTGGGATCTGGTTTCAGAAAAAGTATTAATAGCACAGTGTATAAATACTCTGTTACAAGGAAAAATCCTGTATTCATTTTTTACTTACAAAGAAGTATAACAAATATTAGCATCAAAATAACCATTAAGTTATACTCGTTATGCAGAGTGGTATTACATCACTGGATTATAATAAGTAATTCAATAATGTGTACATCATTTTAATTTTGGTAAAGGCGGGTCTAATTTGTATAACTTTGTATATTTCCAGGCGTTCTAATCCAAATTAGTACATCATAATTCATTTAGATTTGGCATTCATCATTTAAACCTGCAAAGTAACTTATGTTGTCAAATAAATGCAGAGGTGAAAAGTACAATATTTGCTTCCAACATGTAGTGGAGTAGAAGTATAAAAGTAGCGTAAAATGGAAATACTCAAGTAAAGTACAAGTCCCTTAAATGTGTATTTGTTCTCAAGTACAGCACTTGAGGCTATGTTCTTTCCACAACTGCATTCAACTAGGATTAGACGATAAAACAACAGCCTTCCAATATAAAAAATACAGCTTCCTATTAAAAGGGCATTTCATTTGAGGGTTCAAACATAAAATAGTTGTAATAGTCTAGTAACCTTTACTGAGGTACACATGAAAACCGTTATAGTTTCTCTTAAGAGATGCTCAAGTGTGATAAAGAGCAGTCATGTGGTGATACACTTCCAACATCACTGATAAGAGCCACATATTTGTACAGAGATTTGTTTTAAGTTTTTCTAATGTCTAATTCTATATATTTTGAACCTCAGGCTAGGTTCACTTGAACCTAGCCTGTTTAACGACTGCCTAGAAATTATTGTCTCGTATTCAACTTGATCGACATTATTTTGTTTTTGAATTCATATATGGCAATATAACAATGTTACATGCACAGTAGACATGTTTGAGTGTCCATAAAGGGGTATGACTTATATATAACGCGGTGAAAAACAAGGCCACAGTTGGTAACATGTTACGATGAGTACAAAATAAACTGCTTGCCGTTCATGTGGTTAAGCAATTAACATCTAATCTAATGTCTAATCTAATGATCCAGGAGTGAGACAATGTGCACTATAAATAGCTATCTCGATGTAACCTTAGTTATATGAGCAAGTCTCTACCAGGGCTGTACATCAAACTGTGAAAGAAAGAATATGAAACAGCCGCTGTCTGGAGTATAATGAAATGTGGCTGGATCACGCCCTCTAGTGTTTCAGCAGTGATATCAATGGTTGAAAGATATGCTTTAGATATATCACAGGACAGATAAGAACTCATCGCATCAGACATAAATCCACCATCACCTCCAGCAGGAAAACCACGGTAGAAAATATATTGCTATAACGATACAAATCCAGTGAGAAATACTCCCATATTATCCAGTATCTGTGTCTTAAGTGTATTTGTTTTTACCAAGGCAGGATTTGGAACAAGTGAGATAAGGCATGCTCAAACAGAAGGAAAAATTGTTCGGTCACTGACTCTCTGACTGCTATCATTCTGGATTTGTTTTTTCAGATTATTAAACAGGTTAATCCCTGTAAAAAATAAAGTTATTAGCTTTTTTAACTAGTAAGAAAAGACCTGTAAGCAGGGGCGGATCTAGAGAAATATTCATGGTGTGGCAAGAGGGTGGCAGGAGATTTTGAGGGTGGCATCCCCTGGCAGAAGTATATGCTGATTTAATCGCAGTCATATCAATCAATGTTAACTTGGAAAGCCACAATATTAATATTTTAACTCAATATCATTAGGTGACATTATTGTGGCACATCAGTAAAGCCATAAATATAAATATATAAGGTGGCATACATAATTTATTGAATTTTAACTGAATGAGTTTGTTTCACTCTTAGACCAGCAGGGGTACCAAATGTATGCAGTCTGCTGCAATAAGTACATTAATTAACTGTCTCGTCGATGTTTGTCTGAATTAATATGATACTATTAACAATCATATTATTCCTATCAGCTGTCAGATATAAATCAACACGTAATGAATTAAGACCCCACGGTTTGATGATTGATAGGTGTGTGTGCTGTCTTTCATTTTGACACACAGAAAAATGTTATAATAAACATACTGTATGTGAAATGGATATATCTGCCTTCTTTCATTTATCTTTCCATTCCCACAACAATATACATAAAGAAATGGCATATTTTGGGTTTGAATGGTGATTAATCATGATTAATTAATTTTTAAGCTGTGATTAATCTGATTAAAAATTGTAATCGTTTGACAGCCCTAATATATATATATATATATATATATATATATATATATAGATATAGAATGCTTCTCATTTTGCGCCGTCCCGTTCAAATGAAATCGCCGCCAATCACATTTCCAAGCTCGCGCCAGGGCCGGGGGAGGGGTTACAAGGCTCGCGTCTTGTGCTGCATTCACTTGCACTCGGACATTAGGGATTTTCTCTCATAAATGTCCGATGAGCCACAACTTTTCTTTCAAAACAAAGCTGCCAACTGGGGGTGGCAGCTGGGGTGGCAAGGCCATTTTTTAGGGTGGCAGTTGCCACCCCATGCTACCCCGGTAGATCCGCCCCTGCCTGTAAGCACATTAACGAGAGCAAAAGACTCACTTGAAATGTCGCTGTGTCACATTAGTTCTATTTATTTGCCTGCAGCGTGTAAATAGTGTTTATCTTCATGTTTTTTCAGGCAAACTAACATATACAAACATTTCATTATTTGGTTATTGGCACATCCCTAAAGTAAATGGAGAATGATCCACTCAGCCAACATCGTATTAAAGACATTTAACACGTACAATATTATTTTGCTCCTGCAGTTTCTGATCTCACCTCCTCCTGCTCTCTCCTCTTCCAGCGCAGCTGAGCGTTAGTTGACGCCATCGCCTCGATCACAAAGGTGGTGGTCATGTAGCTGGTGAGATGAAAAGGGGTTAACAAGATGCTCAAAATATCTACCTTTTAAACCATCATCGTTTAATTTAAGATGATACATCTGTAAGTTTGATTTGAACACAATCAATATTTCACTGTTTCTGAGTGTAACGGAGGTGATCTTTGGGGCCATAGATCTAGGCCTCCGTTACGGATTGTGTAGCTTTGTTGGTGGTGAAATGTAGGTAGTGTGTGCATCTGTATGTGTTTTAGTTTGTCTGTCTCTGTTTGCTGGTTTTATGTTAAAAGTGTTCCCTTTCCCCATGTCTGTGGCTGTTGATTGTGTGCACCTGGTGCCCGGTGTTGTCTCCTCCCCCCCCACCTGTGTCTAATTGCTGATTAGTGTGTGTATTTAGTCCCTGTTGCCCTGTCTGTTTGGAGGTTGGTAGTGTGGTGTAAAATCCCTGTGGTTCATGACGGTGTGCACATGTTCAGCCGGATTGAGGCTGTGAATCATGTGTCTGATTTAATAAATGCCCACACCGGGTTATATTTTTGGACGTTCTGCCTCTGCCTCCTTGCTTGGTCGGGCCGCTCAATTGTCAGCCTCACAGTGAGACACCTCAAATTTCTAAATACATACTAGATTGACTTTTCATTTAGCCTTTTAACTAACATTATGTCTTTTATTTTGCCATTTAAAAATGTTTGTAAAATCATTAAGTAAAAGCACCTTACTTACTGTTCATGAAATAGTTGAATATATTTAACCTTTTTTTCATATGTTATGTGTCAGATTGTTACCTTCCGACCAAATCATGCAGTAAGTATAACTCTTAAAAAATGCAATCCAAACTTTTCACTTGGAAACACGAACATGATTGAACTTAAATAGGAATTCAGATGAATAAAGTATGTAAAATGTTTTAATTTAAAATAAGAATAGAGAACCGCAGTGACGCGTCGTAAAACCCGGAAGTAAGTTAGCATTTTTAGCACTTCCGGTTCCTTCGTCAAAAAGCAATGCATTTTCTCCATAGGGTTTTGGAAAATAGCTCGAAATAAGGTCTGTGGTTGACACAAATTTAAGAGATAAATCACGTTTTGTTCTATGACATTAAATACATCAGCAGTGACCCCACTGGTGATTTTTGAAGAGTTTACGTGTCTGAAAAACGATGGTTGTTACCGTGTGGCTGAATAGGACTACAGAAATTGTCGAGGCCGTTGTACGTCATTACGCCTAACACGTAAACACTCCAGCTAAGTTTGTTTTCCCCTGTGTTCTGCTTGAAAGCAAGCACCTGCCTATCTTTAGTAACGGTATATCTATATCTGACCATTAGAATATGTATTTTTGAAATTGTCATTTTTAACACCGTAGTTTTACAAATTATAGAATAATTAATTACCGGTGTTTTCCAATTTTACTCGGCAGTTCGTTTCGTTAGCTAACGTTAGCTAAAGCTAGCGCTACTAGTTAGCTACGCAATGGTTTGTTGCTTTGCTCCGGGTTGCAGCCACAGGTCTTCGCATGAAACGTGCTCGTTCTATCGTTTCCCGGCCATTGTTTTCCAAAGGAGAGTCTGGATTCGTGCCATGAGGTAAGCTGACGTTACATTTTTGTCCATGTCACGGTGAAATGTAAATGATGTACGACTGTATCGCCGTTTAAGAGATGGCGCTGCTGAAAAGACCGCAACATAAGTAAAGAAGATAATGAATACATCATATTAAAACCTGTGTCGCTTATATGATAAGTCTAATTAGTACAAGCAGCATAACGTTTCACCATGTAACTAAAGATTGTAGTCAGGGAAATCAGTTTGACATATTGAACTAATAACAAATCACCTCTGGCTGGCAGAGAACTCTCTGCTCCATAGCTTTTATTACATTACATTGCATTTAGCTGACGCTTTTATCCAAAGCGACTTACAATAAGTACATTCGACCAGGAAGACACAACCTTGAAGAAAACAGAATCATATAAGTACATCAGGTTTCATAGAGCCAAACATTTCAAGCTTCTCTTGGACGTAAAATCACATGTACATTTATATAATTCAATTTAATATTCCATCCCTCACATACTTTTGTATATATAATAACTTATATTTTGTTTTTCTTGTTATGCTGCTGCAACACAAACATTTCCCAAATTGGGATCAATACAGTAATATCTTATCTTAATTAATTAAGAAATATAACTTATAATTGTGAGAGAATATTTTAATCCGATCTCTTTGTGTCTTGAGTTTCTCAGCGTTTCTGAGAAACTGTTAATCAAAGATATGCTTTTCGTTAAGTCGCATATACTCCTGCTTGGAATATGAGGAGGACAAAGGTCAAGAGGTCCTCTGACTTCCTGGGGGTGAGGGGTTTGGGCACATGAGGAGTTGCAATACAAAGGGGCCTTTGTTCCGATGTCTGGTAATGATTAAGGTTAGGAAAGGCGGGGTTTTAGATCCCTCCTTTTCGGATATCTATCTATGTTTCTAGTCTTTGTCTTTAGAGTGTTGCTAGGTGGCTCATATGGAAGTGTGATAAACTTTGTAATCGCTCCGGCCGTATACTCTCAATAAATAACAGTGTATGACTAAAGATGATCCAGCTTCCATCATTTCCTCTATATTGCTGCAGAAGTTTTCTTCACAAATTTGCGTCACGACAGGATACCAAAATATCTTCAGAACTGGTAAGTGTAATTTCAAATCTATATTTGGACATTGCCTTACCAGAATCTGTGATTGACCGTATCATAAAATTACCTGTGAAACTGAGCGGCTGCATTTTTTTTTGGTTTCTCTCATCTTTATATTTGGGGGTTTTAATAATAACCTGGAGAATCGGTGTCAAATGGGGATTCTGTCCTGGCCGATTTTCCCTGTGATTGCTGCTGGGGCATGTGCCTTCAGAGCAAGCACAGCTCATGTAAAAAACAATAAGAATATTTGGGGCTAATAATAACCTAGGAATATCGATTTTGACCGATTTCCTCTGTGTGTGTTTCTTGGAATTAAATTACCAGACAATTACACACAGCAAATATTCGGAGAGACCTTAAAGAGAGCATCAGTAAAGTGGATTTCTGCATTAGGAGCAATGTGATAGATTTGTATTGAAACGAATCGCCGAATTCTGGAGATTTCAGCGGTCAGCTGGTTAAATCAACTCGCCTCGAATCTGCCTGTTGCTGCTGCACGGGTGTGTGTGTGATTACACACCCACTGCGGGGAGCCGCAGGCGAAGAGGAAAAAAAGCACAGTGTCATATCTTTTCCTCGCACCATTGCCGATTTGGAACTAAACAAAACGGTCTAAAAGCCTTTATTTTGTCTGCGACCGTTTTCTACTATTTTGCTGGCAAAACTGGGGCAGACAACTAAGTGCGTGCGTCGCCTGGCGCGCCGCAGTTTCCTACTGGCTGGAGAAACTGGGCGCTTTCCCGGGATGCACACATCAGAATAGGTTAATTGGTCATTAATGGGAAGGGTGGTACGCGAGTGTGTGACATAGCGCTGTGTTTTCATCGTAAATGAACAGATGGGTTGTTACATTTGGCTGTTGTTGGAGTAGAAAGGGTACTAGATAAATAAAAAGTCTATGCTCTCCAGATCGGGGGGGGCAAAGCACCACTAAATTAGCATAGTGGTTGTTGATTTGAGAATAAATTAGTTATTGCTCTTCAACAGATTTCGTTCTTAGCACTTGTATAAGTATATATGAGTAAGAAGGCACTCATATTAAACAGATATTTCCCTACCCCCACTGAAATCTCCCTAATTCGGATTAAATTAAGTTGGATGAGCTTAGCTGTCACGCTGATGTTTGTTGCGAGTTCATGTTTGTTTGTCTAATTGTTTCTATATTGGTTTGTCTACCCGCCGTCTTGTGTATGTTTTGTAACAACTAATAATGAATCAGTCCATAGCCAGGATAAAATGAACTAAACTTTAGTTATCTCACCAAAAGTAAATGACTTGAGAAAAATAAATAAATGATGTAAAGCAAAATTATACATTGTAATATAAATGTGCTGCAAAAGGAAAATAAATAGCAAAAGAGTGTTCTTATGTCCTGCATCTGTCTTACAACCGAGACCCTCAGAGGCATCACTGGTCATAAATACCGGCCTGAGGAAATCAGGGTTGCAAAAAAAAAAAGTCTGTTTGCTCAAATAGGTCAATGTTGTATTATTTGTTTCATTTATTCTTAATCTATGTATTGTATGGTAATAATGAATTTAAAAAAAAACGTAATGTATTGAACACATTCCGAAACAAAGCAGATAAGACAGAACTAGACTCAGACATAATTGTGATTGAAACCTTTTGCGCTGTTGCTGCAAAATGAAAACTTTGTTGATTGTCTGTTCCAACTGGCCACTGGAATAGGATAATTGATATAAATTGAAGTTAAATTACAGTTTTAAATATAGTTTAACATTCTTTATTAAACTGTTTCAAATTATTTCTAGTACAATTGGTCTACAGACATTACTACAATTCTAATAGTTGTTAAACTACTGAGCTTATGAACAATAGAGTAAAGGTCGCTGGTTAAGCCAGGATCAATATATTTGTTGAGGTTTTTATTGTGTACATAATAAATGTGTTTAAATGAATTGAGTTTAAAGGAGTATCATGTTGCAATCTCTTTAAGATAAGTAATTGCAGTTCCAAGATAGATGTTGTTTTCCCTGGGCCTCTCCTTCACAAGCCCACACAATAAATCATGAGACTTCCAAATCTGAACAGACAGAGATCAGTATCACAAATCCATGAAGGGATTCTAGTGGGCCCAATTTAAATACCATAAAGAGAGTATTCACCCAGCTGTTTTGATTTCTTAAAAAAAAAAATGTTAGCCCAGTTTCCTTCGAGTTCAGTCTAAGCTACGAATTGCTTCTCATAAACATTCGCACCGCTGGTTTTAAACCTTGAGCAGACAAGCTGCACACACACACACACATACACATACACACACACACACACACACTGAGGGGTGTGTTATTCGTAGGTGTTCTTCCCTCCGGAGA